CTTTACCCTGAGGAACTGGCACTGCAAAGGTATGAATTATACAACAAAGGACTGGGAATGCAGAACAAATGCAGGGTAGGTTGGGGCAACTATAAAAAGGAATTCATTGAGGAAGTGGTGAGGTAGCAGATGTGTGGAACCTACTTTGGGAAAATAAGGGCTTAGCACTTTTTTGGCCAGTATTGTGTCTAAGGTAGAAAACTCAAGCCAACCAGTCTAATTTCCTTCATCTGGGGAGAGCAGCAGTAGCTTTAAATAGAACATACATATATTCAGAACTGAGGCAGCAATCTTACATTGGATAAGTACACCCTAATAAACCAAAAAGCTATGTCCCCAGATTTTTAAATTATCTCCAAGGATAGTGATGACATCTTTAATCTGATTTTCCCCTTAAAGTTGTTCAAGGAAGGTAGAAAATGCAGGAATTGGCTGCTTCTCAGCCCTTGGAGAGCAATCTGAAAGAGGCCATGGCTTAATGCGCTGGAAGGATATTGAGACCCGCATTAAATTATAAGAGAAAAATTTGTTAAAAGCAACAAATTTCTCAAACACAGCTGGATTTCCAGACTTCCATTTATCAGTGACAGCAAGATGTGCCACGTTACGGCCTATCTTCCAGTCTCCCAGGCTTCCATTTCAGAGGATTTAGGGGTGGGGAGAGGAGAAATGGAGATGGAAGAGGGTAGAAATGTTTATTTAAAACTACTGGAGCCTCAAAAATGGAGACAGCTCTGGAAAAGACTTACTAGCTTTTAACACGCTGAACCCAAAGCTCTCTAATTTTATGCCTTAGTCCTCTTAATTATTGAAGAGAGCTGTCCATGTGTGACTTCCCATCCTGGGTGTTCCTGCAGATTTAATGCATTCTTAAGAATTTTTAACCTATTTTCTCGCTCTTGCCTTTGTTAATTCTTTCCCATCGCTGACACTGACAACAAATCAGTTTATTTTCTCATAATGAAAATGTGTGGATTTTCAGTTGTTTTATAGTTTCTTTTAAGCCCATTTATTTGTCCACTTATTAACTGTCAACAATATATATTTTTTTTAGTTTCTTCTACATGTCTAAATGTTATAGGTTCTGGGTGTGGAAAACAAGACCGATGAGGCCCCTGGCCTCACAGAGCTTCCATTCAGTGGCAATCCAGAGACAAATGCATACTGTGAAGAAACTAACACAGGGTGATGGGATTGAGAATGATGAAGGAGAAGGAAGAGGCTACTTTTTAGTTCTGAGATGACGGCATTTGAACTAAGACTTGAATGGTGAGAAAGAGCTAGAAAAGGTCTGGCGAGAAAGTATTCCATGTAGGATGAAAAGAAAATGGTAAGTTCCTGAGGAGAAGAATGTTATGTGTTGTGCACATATGAGCACAATGTGAAGGGGGAGAGACAGGGCCAAATGATGGCTGGTCTGGCTGTGGTAAGAATTAGAGTTTTATTTGCTGTGCAACAGGAAGTCACTGAACATTTTTAAGTTGGGAGTGTACAGGTTTTCAAAAGAATCTTCTTGTCTAGTGCCTGAAATTAAGACTGGGGAAGGGAGGGATTATAGGAGTAGATGTAAGGAGACCACTTAAAAGGTTACTGGATTAGTCCATGCAAGAGATGAAGGTGGCTTGGACTAGGATTGCAGCAGTATGGATGTGATGACATACGTTTTTGAGGTAAATGCCCAGATTTTAGTTAACAAGTAATAGGAAACAAGGAAGTTGGAGAACATAATAATAATATAATAGCTAACACTTCTGTAGTTTCCAGGATTCTTTTAGGTGCTTTACACATGCTAACTACTTTAATCCTCATAATAATAGTATTCATAAGATAGGTACTATTATTATCACTATTTTATAGATGAGAAAACTGATGCACAAGGAGGTTGAGTTACTGGCCAAAGGCCACCCAAATAATAAATATCAGAGTACAGACTCAAACGCAGGCATCTCATTCTACGGTATGTGTTCTCCCTCCAGTGCACTAGGACATAATATGTAGACACACGATACATATATCTCAACATATAAGTGCAGCAGAGAGACACACAAGATCCTGATGAACCAACTCATATGATTTAAAAAACATTTCAACAATAAGCAGAGGTCATGGAAAAAAAAGGTAAAAGATCAGTCCCCAGTTTTAAAACAATAATAATTATTATTATTTTTTTTTTGAGACAGTGTCTCGCTCTGTTGCCCGGGCTAGAGTGCCGGGGCATCAGCCTAGCTCACAGCAATCCCCTCATGGTATTCTGTAGTCTGGCTTGAGGTCTGGCATGTGTTAATGATGATTCAGCTGCTAATAAATAGCTGTGTTGTTCAGTACGATAACCACTAGCCACATGGGGATATTTACATTTAAGTTCATTTAAATTAAACAAAATTAAAAATTCAGTTCCTTAATACCACTAGCCACATTTCACATCTCAATTGCTCAATAGCCACATGTAGCTAGCGAGTGGTTACTATATTAGCCAGCACAGATGTAAAACCACCTTTGCAGAAAGTTCTATTGGTTCTTGCTGAACATCAAGGCAGCATTCACGAAGAGCTGGTTAATTTAACTAATATCTGCATCAAACCTAATTTGCCCTCTACTCTTTATCTTTTATTTTACGGAATCTAAGTCTTATCAAAATTTTGTTGCCCAAGATTCTGTGCAAATTCTTCAAGCTGTTAGAATATTTTTGATCACTGTTTATATCAGTGCGTGTGAATGCATTTTCAGAGATTCTATAAAGGAGGCCGTCCTTTTCTTGATTGAATTTCTGAATTCTATCATTAGCCTCAACATCTCTGCAATTATCCATATCTGGTTATTAACACGTTATTTCTACATTTCTCTTCCTCTCCCCCCTTCCCCCCACAACATCCTCTGAATTAGAAGCTGGGGAGACTGCAAGATTCTTAAAGAGATCATTATTTTGATAGCAGCTGGTTCTTAACAGCCCTGGTTTTGTGACAGAGGTGACAGGATCTGTTTCTGTGGCCGCATTGTCTTAATTATATTCCTCATGTATCACAAGCCTTGGGATAAAGTGATGTTATACATTGTAGTGTCTGCAGGGCAGCACTTGATGGTAGGCTGGGAAACATCTAAATGTAACACGTGTAGCCAACGCATTTACTGTCATTAGTTAACCAAGCAGCTCATGTGCCTGTTTCAGCTCCCTGACCCACATTTCATCCATGCTCTGCTGTTTTTCTCCTGCAGGGTTATTTCCTGAGTAAAG